TTTCTATAAGTTGATGATCTACCAATATATAGTCCAATCTGGAATACATCTCGTGTGCTTTGGAGAAGAAGGTATAGTCTCTCTCTTTTCCATGAGTCACTCTCCAAATATCCACCAGTTGACACTCATGTATCACCCCCTTCAGGTTTCTCAGAGCTCTACCTCCCTCTCGCTGCACAGAAGAGGTCGTATCTATTTGTGGGTCCATACATAAATTCAAATCCCCTGCCACTATCAAGCGTCCCTTCTTAAAGGCCATCAGTTTTCTCAAAACTCCCTTCAGATAAACTTCTGGTCTTTTATTTGGGCAATAGATATTCACAATTGTACATTCCTGCTCTTGTAGTCTACCCTTCAAAAACAAAAATCTCCCCTCAGGATCTACCTCTTTCTTCTATCTCCAGCCTTATATTTTTTGCAAACCCTATTGGTACTCCCTTGGCTCTCTTGATTGGGGAATCCGCATAAAACCATGTTGGGTAATTTCTAGAGTACAGCTTTATATTTGACTTAATCTCAAGATGTGTCTCCTGCAAAAATACCACCGAAACCTCTCTATGCTGTAGCTCCTTGAATATTTTAAATCTCTTCCCAGGACAGTTCAATCCCTTTACGTTATATGTTATAAATCTTAGATCTTCCATATGTCTTATATCCCTTATTTTTTATTTTTCCCTTCCATCATGCAGAGTGTTGACCCTAAAACCCCTCCCAGCCCCCTCTTCTTTCTAACCATGTCCCTCCCCCCCCCCTTTTTAGGCCTTTAATTTGCCTATCAATCATTTGTGGAGATAAATCCACCTTTGATTTAATCCTCAGGGCTTCACTCCTCCCAAAGACGGCCTCCCCTCTATCCAAATCCCCCCGTGGCCCCCACTTTCTACCAAGACAATTCAAAAATGAGAAAAAAAAAAGGAAATAGGCCGGGCGGGTGAGGGAAGAAGAGGAGGACGAAAGATAGATAGATAGAAGAAAAAAAAAAAAAAAACACAACTCTCTCCTCCTCTCCCCTCCTCCCCCCCACAAGCTGCCAGTCCTCTTGTCTTTCAAATCTAATTTCTCCCGGTTCTTCTTCCCAGCCGATAATTTTCCGTTCTTTGCAATTTCAGTCTATCACAAAAAGTTCTCATATCCTCTGGGAACCTTAAATAAGCTGTAACTCCGTTCTTCCATCCTATTAAACACTCTGGTATCCCCCATCTATATTGAATATTCTGTTTTTTCATTTGTTCTAGCAAAGGTCTCAGAGCTCTCCTCCTCCACAAAGTCTCTGGTGATAAATCCGCATATATCTGGATATCTATTTCTCCATACTTAATTACCGATTTTCCCTTAATTTTCCTCCAGATTTTTTCTTTTTCCTGTAGATCATAAAATTTCACCAGTATATCTCTCGGCCTTTTCTTCCCAAGATGGGGTTTCCCTTTTCTAAAGGTTCCTTCTATTTTAGTCCTTTCCATATCAGAGTTTCCCATTATAGAGTTTAGTATTTTGCAAGTCTCCTCATACAATATTTCTCCTTTTTGGCTTTCTGGGACCCCTCGTATCCTGATATTTCTCTGTTCTCTTGTATTTCCGCCTTGTACAGTAATTTTTCCTGAGTTTTCCACATATTAATTATCTTCTTTTCTAATTCGGATATAATCTGGGTCTGATTTTTAACTTTCTGCTCCGTTTCTTCCACTCTTACCAGCAGCTGTCCCAGATCATTCCGAATATTTACCATTTCTTGCTTTGTTGTTTTCTCTAGTTCTTTGAACATTTCTGCCATCTCTTTTTTGTTTAGTATTTGTAAATATTTTCCTAACTCTATATTTTCTGATATTTGCTGATTACTAATGTCCAGATCCAGTGACTGTCTGTCTGGAGCTATTTTGCGGACTAGATACTATTTCTCCTTTTCCATTTCTACTCTGAGGCCTTTCTGGGGTCACGTTTCCCTGGGACGTATATTTTTTGATTGTGCCAGTTTGGGTCCCCTTAAGCCCACTCCCTTTTTGCACTTTTATTTTTCATTTCTTCTGAGACTTTCACTTTTTTTTTTTTTCCTCTGGGAACTGGTCGTTAGAGAAAGACAGCCTTTTACATGCAAGTCTGTCAGGAATGGACTGGCCAGCAATGGTGGGACTCACCTGCCTTTTGATCTGCAGTACCAGGGCTGGCCAGCGGGTGCTCCCAGCAATCAGAGACTCAACCTTTCAGCCAGCTAACACCTGGAACTGATGATACTGGTGTATTTAAGGGATGGCCAGACTTGCAGACTCTGCCTTGGTGTTGTGTTTGTCCTGGGCCCTGTATCTGTCCTGCATCCTGTTTCTGGTCCTTTGCTACCTGTTCTGATCCCTGGCTTGTGACCCTGACCATCCCTCTGCCTGACCCTCTGTACTACGCTGCTTGCTACCTGTTCTGATCCCTGGCTTGTGACCCTGACCATCCCTCTGCCTGACCCTCTGTACTACGCTGCTTGCTACCTGCTGAACCTGGCCTGTGACCCCGACCATTCTCCGCTTGCTCCCCCTGTACCTACCTGCCCAATTGATATTGACTCGGCCTGCCTGACGACGCTTGCTTGTATGTACTGTTATCTGTGGGTGGTTGGTTGGGTTTGTTTGCACTGTATTATGTTTAGTATTGCACTGCGTTTATGTTTGTATTGTTAGTGTTAATAAATTACATTGTTAATCACATATCTGAAGTCTGCGTTTCCCTGCTTCAGTCACACACCTCTGGTCATACCTGGGAGCCCTGACATTACACCAAGGCCAATCCTGACCAGAAGTGGCTGCACAGGGAAGCCATCTTGGCTTGTTGATGGGAAGGATGGATCTGGATGAGGTTGCGTATTTATATCTGCTAGTGTTTGATGACAGGGAGTATGCTTATCAAACTCTGAAGGAGTATACCCGGGATGAACTGCTAGAATGTATACGGCTCGCTCATGTTCTAGTAGATCAGGGCACAGAGTTCTCTGAGGTGCAGCCTTTGATTGAGGTTTGTGCAGAGTTGGTTTCATCTGGTACCCCCGAATGCAGGGATGAATTTTTGCCACCATTTAGTGCAGACCAGGTAGAGTCCCTGGTGTGGTTATTAGAGGATGATGTGGGTTACTTTCTGGAGCGTTATTCCACATGTTCACCACAGACACTAAGAGATTGTATAAACGCAGTGCAGTCATTGACCAGACAGGCTTTGTGTAAGCTCAGCTTTGTTCAACCCATACTGCAGACATGGACAGACTTGTTGCACCCAGCCTCAGTCAGCTTACAAAAACCCAGTCCTGCTTCTAACTCTACTCCTGTATTCCCAACAGCTCCTCCAGTTACAGCCCAGTATACTTGGCTATCTACCGCATGTCAGTACCCTGTTCCCACTCGCTGCACCTATCCTGCCTTTAACCCTGTAAAAAAGCCCTCTGTAGCAACTGCTCCCTCTCCTGTTCCATCCTCCAGTTCTTCTCTGTCTCCAGCTGCTCCATTCGTTTGCAGACCTGCGTTTACTTGCAGTGCTCCAGTAGTTAAAACCAGAAAAAAGCGAAAATTCTTTCCAACCAATACCATCCTGCCAGTATCCAAACCGGTGAGCCTGCCTTCCGTGGTTCAGCCTGAAGCCTCTACTCAGCCTGAAGCCTCTACTCAGCCTGAAGCCTCTACTCAGCCTGAAGCCTCTACTCAGCCTGATGCCTGTACTCGGCCTGATGCCTGTACGCAGCCTGATGCCTCTCTTCAGCCTGATGCCGGTACGCAGCCTGATGCCTCTCTTCAGCCTGATGCCTCTATTCAGCCTGATGCCTCTCTTCAGCCTGATGCCTCTACTCGGCCTGAAGCCTCTACTCGGCCTGATGCCTCTACTCGGCCTGATGCCTCTACTCGATGCCTGATGCCTCTACTCGGCCTGATGCCTCTACTCGGCCTGAGCCTCTACTCGGCCTGATGCCTCTACTCGGCCTGATGCCCTCTACTCGGCCTGATGCCTCTACTCGGCCTGATGCCTCTACTCGGCCTGAAGCCTCTACTCGGCCTGAAGCCTACTCGGCCTAGCCTCTCAGCCGGACGCCGGCATTCAGCCTGATGCCTCTACCCAGCATGATGAACTGATCCAGCCTGACGATCCTATTAGGCCAGTTGACTCGATGCCCGCTGTTGATCCAGATGATCCGGTACCTGATCCGTTGCCCGCTGTCGTGCCAATTGACTCAGAGCCCGCTGTCGTACCTGGTGACTCGGTGCCCACTGCCTTGCCAGATGACGCGGTGCCCGCTGGCGAGCCAAATGACCTGATGCCTGGTGACCCAGTGCCCGCTGTCATACCTGGTGACCCGATGCCCGCTGTCAAGCCAGACGATCCAATGCCTGGTGACCCGGTGCCCAATGCCTTGCCAGATGACGCGGTGCCCGCTGTCAAGCCAAATGACCTGATGCCTGGTGACCCAGTGCCCGCTGTCATACCTGGTGACCCGATGCCTGCTGTCGAGCCAGACAATCCGGTAACTGATGACCCGGTGCCCACTGTCGTGCCTGTTGACTCGGAGCCCACTGCCTTGCCAGATGACGCGGTGCCCGCTGTCGAGCCAAATGACCTGATGCCTGGTGACCCGATGCCCGCTGTCCAGCCAGACGATTCAATGTCTGCCCCAGTGCCCGCGGTCATGCCAGTTGACTCGGAACCCACTGCCTTGCCAGATGACGCGGTGCTCGCTGTCAAGCCAAATGACTTGATGCCTGGTGACCCGATGCCCGCTGTCCAGTCAGACGATCCAATGTCTGACCCAGTGCCCGCGGTCATACCAGTTGACTCGGAGCCCACTGCCTTGCCAGATGACGCGGTGCCCGCTGTCGAGCCAAATGACCTGATGCCTGGTGACCGATGCCCGCTGTCCAGTCAGACGATCCAATGTCTGACCCAGTGCCCGCGGTCATACCAGTTGACTCGGAGCCCACTGCCTTGCCAGATGACACGGTGCCCGCTGTCGAGCCAAATGACCTGATGCCTGGTGACCCGATGCCCGCTGTCCAGCCAGACGATCCAATGTCTGACCTAGTGCCAGCGGTCATGCCAGTTGACTCGGAGCCCACTGTCGTGCCTGGTGACTCGGTGCCCGCTGCTCCGCCTGGGGGCCCGAGACCTGTCGCTCCACCTGGGGGTCCGGCGCCCGCCGCCCCGCCTGGGGGTCCGAGACCTGTCGCTCCGCCTGAGGGCCCGAGACCTGTCGCTCCCGCCTGGGGGTCCGGCGCCCGCCGCTCCGCCTGAGGGCCCGAGACCTGTCGCTCCACCTGGGGGTCCGGCGCCCGCCGCTCCGCCTGAGGGCCCGAGACCTGTCGCTCCACCTGGGGGTCCGGCGCCCGCCGCTCCGCCTGAGGGCCCGAGACCTGTCGCTCCGCCTGGGGGCCCGAGACCTGTCGCTCCACCTGGGGGTCCGGCGCCCGCCGCTCCGCCTGAGGGCCCGAGACCTGTCGCTCCACCCGGGGGTCCCGGCGCCCGCCGCTCCGCCTGGGGGTCCGGCGCCCGCCGCTCCGCCTGGGGGCCCGATGCCTGCCGCCCCGCCTGGGGGCCCGATGCCTGCCGCCCCGCCTGGGGGCCCGATGCCTGCCCCCCCGCCTGGGGGCCCGATGCCTGTCGCCCCGCCTGGGGGCCCGATGCCTGTCGCTCCACCTGGGGGTCCGGCGCCCGCCGCTCCGCCTGAGGGCACGAGACCTGTCGCTCCACCCGGGGGTCCGGCGCCCCTGCCGCTCCGCCTGAGGGCCCGAGGCCTGTAGTTCCGCCTGGGGGTCCGGCGCCCGCCGCCCGCCTGGGGGCCCGATGCCTGTCGCCCCACCTGGGGGCCCGATGCCTGTCGCCCCGCCTGGGGGCCCGATGCCTGTCGCCCCGCCTGGGGGCCCGAGGCCTGTCGCTCCATCTGGGGGTCCGGCACCCGCCGCTCCGCCTGAGGGCCCGAGACCTGTAGTTCCGCCTGGGGGCCCGATGCCTGTCCCCGCCCGGGGGCCCGATGCCTGTCACCCCGCCCGGGGGCCCGAGGCCTTTCGCCCCGCCCGGGGCCCGAGGCCTGTCGCCCCGCCCGGGGGCCCGAGGCCTGTCGCCCCGCCCGGGGGCCCGAGGCCTGCACCCACGGCCCGGGGGCCCGAGGGCCTGTCGCCCCGCCCGGGGCCCGGTGCCTGCCGCTCCGCCCAGTGGCCCGCTGCCTGCCGCTTCGCCTGGTAGCCCTATGTGCCTCTGCCCGGAGTCCTGCCCGATGTGCCTCTGCCCGGAGTCCAGCCCGATGTGCCTCTGCCCGGTGTGCCTCTGCCCGGAGTCCAGCCCAATGTGCCTCTGCCCGGAGTCCAGCCCGATGTGCCTCTGCCCGGAGTCCAGCCCGATGTGCCTCTGCCCGGAGTCCAGCCCGATGTGCCTCTGCCGGAGTCCAGCCCGATGTGCCTCTGCCCGAGTCCAGCCCGATGTGCCTCTGCCCGGTGTGGCTCTGCCCGGTGTGCCTCTGCCCGGAGTCCAGCCCGATGTGCCTCTGCCCGGTGTGGCTCTGCCCGGTGTGCCTCTGCCCGGAGTCCAGCCCGATGTGCCTCTGCACGGTGTACCGCTGCCCGGAGTCCTGCCCGGTGTGCCAGTCTTTGATATCCCGCCAGTTACCAGACCCGGGCGGTGGAACATTTTTCCCAGCTAGGACTGTTTGGAGCGTCCTGAGGCCGCTCCTTGAGGGGGGGGTACTGTCAGGAATGGACTGGCCAGCAATGGTGGGACTCACCTGCCTTTTGATCTGCAGTACCAGGGCTGGCCAGCGGGTGCTCCCAGCAATCAGAGACTCAACCTTTCAGCCAGCTAACACCTGGAACTGATGATACTGGTGTATTTAAGGGATGGCCAGACTTGCAGACTCTGCCTTGGTGTTGTGTTTGTCCTGGGCCCTGTATCTGTCCTGCATCCTGTTTCTGGTCCTTTGCTACCTGTTCTGATCCCTGGCTTGTGACCCTGACCATCCCTCTGCCTGACCCTCTGTACTACGCTGCTTGCTACCTGTTCTGATCCCTGGCTTGTGACCCTGACCATCCCTCTGCCTGACCCTGTACTACGCTGCTTGCTACCTGCTGAACCTGGCCTGTGACCCCGACCATTCTCCGCTTGCTCCCCCTGTACCTACCTGCCCAATTGATATTGACTCGGCCTGCCTGACGACGCTTGCTTGTATGTACTGTTATCTGTGGGTGGTTGGTTGGGTTTGTTTGCACTGTATTATGTTTAGTATTGCACTGCGTTTATGTTTGTATTGTTAGTGTTAATAAATTACATTGTTAATCACATATCTGAAGTCTGCGTTTCCCTGCTTCAGTCACACACCTCTGGTCATACCTGGGAGCCCTGACATTACACCAAGGCCAATCCTGACCAGAAGTGGCTGCACAGGGAAGCCATCTTGGCTTGTTGATGGGAAGGATGGATCTGGATGAGGTTGCGTATTTATATCTGCTAGTGTTTGATGACAGGGAGTATGCTTATCAAACTCTGAAGGAGTATACCCGGGATGAACTGCTAGAATGTATACGGCTCGCTCATGTTCTAGTAGATCAGGGCACAGAGTTCTCTGAGGTGCAGCCTTTGATTGAGGTTTGTGCAGAGTTGGTTTCATCTGGTACCCCCGAATGCAGGGATGAATTTTTGCCACCATTTAGTGCAGACCAGGTAGAGTCCCTGGTGTGGTTATTAGAGGATGATGTGGGTTACTTTCTGGAGCGTTATTCCACATGTTCACCACAGACACTAAGAGATTGTATAAACGCAGTGCAGTCATTGACCAGACAGGCTTTGTGTAAGCTCAGCTTTGTTCAACCCATACTGCAGACATGGACAGACTTGTTGCACCCAGCCTCAGTCAGCTTACAAAAACCCAGTCCTGCTTCTAACTCTACTCCTGTATTCCCAACAGCTCCTCCAGTTACAGCCCAGTATACTTGGCTATCTACCGCATGTCAGTACCCTGTTCCCACTCGCTGCACCTATCCTGCCTTTAACCCTGTAAAAAAGCCCTCTGTAGCAACTGCTCCCTCTCCTGTTCCATCCTCCAGTTCTTCTCTGTCTCCAGCTGCTCCATTCGTTTGCAGACCTGCGTTTACTTGCAGTGCTCCAGTAATTAAAACCAGAAAAAAGCGAAAATTCTTTCCAACCAATACCATCCTGCCAGTATCCAAACCGGTGAGCCTGCCTTCCGTGGTTCAGCCTGAAGCCTCTACTCAGCCTGAAGCCTCTACTCAGCCTGAAGCCTCTACTCAGCCTGATGCCTGTACTCGGCCTGATGCCTGTACGCAGCCTGATGCCTCTCTTCAGCCTGATGCCGGTACGCAGCCTGATGCCTCTCTTCAGCCTGATGCCTGTATGCAGCCTGATGCCTCTCTTCAGCCTGATGCCTCTACTCGGCCTGAAGCCTCTACTCGGCCTGATGCCTCTACTCGGCCTGATGCCTCTACTCGGCCTGATGCCTCTACTCGGCCTGAAGCCTCTACTCGGCCTGATGCCTCTACTCGGCCTGATGCCTCTACTCGGCCTGATGCCTCTACTCGGCCTGAAGCCTCTACTGATGCCTCTACTCGGCCTGAAGCCTCTACTCGGCCTGAAGCCTCTACTCGGCCTGATGCCTCTACTCGGCCTGAAGCCTCTACTCAGCCGGACGCCGGCATTCAGCCTGATGCCTCTACCCAGCATGATGAACTGATCCAGCCTGACGATCCTATTAGGCCAGTTGACTCGATGCCCGCTGTTGATCCAGATGATCCGGTACCTGATCCGTTGCCCGCTGTCGTAGCCAATTGACTCAGAGCCCGCTGTCGTAACCTGGTGACTCGGTGCCCACTGCCTTGCCAGATGACGCGGTGCCCGCTGGCGAGCCAAATGACCTGATGCCTGGTGACCCATGCCCGCTGTCATACCTGGTGACCCGATGCCCGCTGTCGAGCCAGACGATCCAATGCCTGGTGACCCGGTGCCCAATGCCTTGCCAGATGACGCGGTGCCCGCTGTCAAGCCAAATGACCTGATGCCTGGTGACCCAGTGCCCGCTGTCATACCTGGTGACCCGATGCCTGCTGTCGAGCCAGACAATCCGTACCTGATGACCGGTGCCCCACTGTCGTGCCTGTTGACTCGGAGCCCACTGCCTTGCCAGATGACGCGGTGCCCGCTGTCGAGCCAAATGACCTGATGCCTGGTGACCCGATGCCCGCTGTCCAGCCAGACGATTCAATGTCTGCCCCAGTGCCCGCGGTCATGCCAGTTGACTCGGAACCCACTGCCTTGCCAGATGACGCGGTGCTCGCTGTCAAGCCAAATGACTGATGCCTGGTGACCCGATGCCCGCTGTCCAGTCAGACGATCCAATGTCTGACCCAGTGCCCGCGGTCATACCAGTTGACTCGGAGCCCATTGCCTTGCCAGATGACGCGGTGCCCGCGGTCGAGCCAAATGACCTGATGCCTGGTGACCCGATGCCCGCTGTCCGGTCAGACGATCCAATGTCTGACCCAGTGCCCGCGGTCATACCAGTTGACTCGGAGCCCACTGCCTTGCCAGATGACACGGTGCCCGCTGTCGAGCCAAATGACCTGATGCTGGAGACCCGATGCCCGCTGTCCAGCCAGACGATCCAATGTCTGACCTAGTGCCAGCGGTCATGCCAGTTGACTCGGAGCCCACTGTCGTGCCTGGTGACTCGGTGCCCGCTGCTCCGCCTGGGGGCCCGAGACCTGTCGCTCCACCTGGGGGGGTCGGCGCCCGCCGCCCCGCCTGGGGGCCCGAGACCTGTCGCTCCGCCTGAGGGCCCGAGACCTGTCGCACCGCCTGGGGGTCCGGCGCCCGCCGCTCCGCCTGAGGGCCCGAGACCTGTCGCTCCACCTGGGGGTCCGGCGCCCGCCGCTCCACCTGAGGGCCCGAGACCTGTCGCTCCACCTGGGGGGTCCGGCGCCCGCCGCTCCGCCTGAGGGCCCGAGACCTGTCGCTCCACCTGGGGGTCCGGCACCTTGCCGCTCCGCCTGAGGGCCCGAGACCTGTCGCTCCGCCTGGGGGCCCGAGACCTGTCGCTCCACCTGGGGTCCGGCGCCCGCCGCTCCGCCTGAGGGCCCGAGACCTGTCGCTCCACCCGGGGGTCCGGCGCCCGCCGCTCCGCCTGGGGGTCCGGCGCCCGCCGCTCCGCCTGGGGGCCCGATGCCTGCCGCCCCGCCTGGGGGCCCGATGCCTGCCGCCCCGCCTGGGGGCCCGATGCCTGCCACCCCGCCTGGGGGCCCGATGCCTGTCGCCCCGCCTGGGGGCCCGATGCCTGTCGCTCCACCTGGGGGTCCGGCGCCCGCCGCTCCGCCTGAGGGCACGAGACCTGTCGCTCCACCGGGGGGTCCGGCGCCCGCCGCTCCGCCTGAGGGCCCGAGGCCTGTAGTTCCGCCTGGGGGTCCGGCGCCCGCCGCCCCGCCTGGGGGCCCGATGCCTGTCGCCCCACCTGGGGGCCCGATGCCTGTCGCCCCGCCTGGGGGCCCGATGCCTGTCGCCCCGCCTGGGGGCCCGAGGCCTGTCGCTCCATCTGGGGGTCCGGCTCCCCCCCCCGCCGCTCCGCCTGAGGGCCCGAGACCTGTAGTTCCGCCTGGGGGCCCGATGCCTGTCGCCCCGCCCGGGGGCCCGATGCCTGTCGCCCCCCCGGGGGCCCGAGGCCTTTCGCCCCGCCCGGGGGCCCGATGCCTGTCGCCCCGCCGGGGGCCCGAGGCCTGTCGCCCCGCCCGGGGGGCCCGAGGCCTGTCGCCCCGCCCGGGGGCCCGAGGCCTGTCGCCCCGCCCGGGGGCCCGGTGCCTGCCGCTCCGCCCAGTGGCCCGCTGCCTGCCGCTTCGCCTGGTAGCCCTATGTGCCTCTGCCCGGAGTCCTGCCCGATGTGCCTCTGCCCGGAGTCCAGCCCGATGTGCCTCTGCCCGGAGTCCAGCCCGATGTGCCTCTGCCCGGGAGTCCAGCCCGATGTGCCCTCCGGAGTCCAGCCGAATGTGCCTCTGCCCGGAGTCCAGCCCGATGTGCCTCTGCCCGGAGTCCAGCCCGATGTGCCTCTGCCCGGAGTCCAGCCCGATGTGCCTCTGCCCGGAGTCCAGCCCGATGTGCCCTCTGCCCGGAGCCCGATGTGCCTCTGCCCGGAGTCCAGCCCGATGTGCCTCTGCCCGGAGTCCAGCCCGATGTGCCTCTGCCCGGAGTCCAGCCCGATGTGCCTCTGCCCGGAGTCCAGCCCGATGTGCCTCTGCCCGGAGTCCAGCCCGATGTGCCTCTGCCCGGAGTCCAGCCCGATGTGCCTCTGCCCGGTGTGGCTCTGCCCGGTGTGCCTCTGCCCGGAGTCCAGCCCGATGTGCCTCTGCCCGGTGTGGCTCTGCCCGGTGTGCCTCTGCCCGGAGTCCAGCCCGATGTGCCTCTGCACGGTGTACCGCTGCCCGGAGTCCTGCCCGGTGTGCCAGTCTTTGATATCCCGCCAGTTACCAGACCCGGGCGGTGGAACATTTTTCCCAGCTAGGACTGTTTGGAGCGTCCTGAGGCCGCTCCTTGAGGGGGGGGTACTGTCAGGAATGGACTGGCCAGCAATGGTGGGACTCACCTGCCTTTTGATCTGCAGTACCAGGGCTGGCCAGCGGGTGCTCCCAGCAATCAGAGACTCAACCTTTCAGCCAGCTAACACCTGGAACTGATGATACTGGTGTATTTAAGGGATGGCCAGACTTGCAGACTCTGCCTTGGTGTTGTGTTTGTCCTGGGCCCTGTATCTGTCCTGCATCCTGTTTCTGGTCCTTTGCTACCTGTTCTGATCCCTGGCTTGTGACCCTGACCATCCCTCTGCCTGACCCTCTGTACTACGCTGCTTGCTACCTGTTCTGATCCCTGGCTTGTGACCCTGACCATCCCTCTGCCTGACCCTCTGTACTACGCTGCTTGCTACTGCTGAACCTGGCCTGTGACCCCGACCATTCTCCGCTTGCTCCCCCTGTACCTACCTGCCCAATTGATATTGACTCGGCCTGCCTGACGACGCTTGCTTGTATGTACTGTTATCTGTGGGTGGTTGGTTGGGTTTGTTTGCACTGTATTATGTTTAGTATTGCACTGCGTTTATGTTTGTATTGTTAGTGTTAATAAATTACATTGTTAATCACATATCTGAAGTCTGCGTTTCCCTGCTTCAGTCACACACCTCTGGTCATACCTGGGAGCCCTGACAAAGTCCCAATCCTGTCTATTCACCTTTTTCTTTTAGCCCTTTCTTTCCCCAATCTTCTTCTCAGTCTTTCTCTTCTTCTGGGAGTCCTCCCTATTTCTCTCACATTCTGCCTCCCCAACAGCTCAATACAAGATTCATGCATACAGCCTTAGCCGGTCTCACTCACCCCTTCGCGTTTCTCTTCCTGTGAGATAGCATCGGGCTCTTTTCTTCAGTCCATACAATATATCAACCTTTCTTCTTTTCCTCCTGGGGGGGGGGGGGCACCCCATGGTGAAGCTGGAAGTTGTAGTGTTGGGTGTGGCAGAGGAACGCTGGGAGTTGTAGTACAGGGGGGTGTGAAGCACTGAGAATTTGGAATGCTGGGGATTATGGTGCAGAGGGCTTTGACAGCATTATAAATATATAGTGGAGGGGGGCTGGGCCCCTGTATGTTATGATGACGCTGGGAGTTGTAGTACTGGGGGGTGGCCAAGGAGCGCTGGGAGTTGTAGTGCAGGGGGGGTGTAGTAGAGCACTGAGAGTTTGAATTGTTGGGGGTTGTAGTGCGGAGGGCTATAGAAATGTTAGGCGATGAATAGTGGAAGGGGACTGAGGCCCCTGTAGATTACTGTGGAGGGGTCTGCTGTCCAGAGGGCTAGAATCACCTCTGCCCTCTCTCCCCCATATCACACCGTATCTCTCCCCTCCGCAGCTCCCTCTCCTTTCTCCAAGCTAGTTGGGCGGCAGGCGGCTCAGCATCTCTCCCTCCATCTGTCAGACTCCGGCCGGCTTCCTCGCCTCCCAGTAGTGCACTGCGGCCAGCCACACACTCGAGCCACGCCCCCTCACTCCTCAGCACCCAGCCACGGCTTCCTTACAGAGCAGCCTCCAGCTGGTCTCCAGCCTCCAAGTCCCCCTTCCCATGGGCTCCCGCACGTCCTAGGGTGCCCGCTGAGCAGGGGTGAGTCTTATCTTACTTGATGTTCCTCCATACCGGTTGTATCTTGGTAGCCTGGAGGGGATCAGACAGAGGAGGTTGAGCCAAGAGTTCCTACCTCGGACTCTCCTCGGCCGCCATAGTCAGGCTCCGCCCCTGTACAACTTGATCACTTGTTCCAATGTCTATGTACAACACACCGCTATCAAACCAAGCTCTGATATTTCCAGCTTTGTAACTTGGTTAACATATAGTTATAAAAAATATCTATTTACAGTTGCTGATGAAGATTATACATAAACCCCTCATAAGTCAACAAACACTTCTATTCACATAAGCACTCTATGATTGTATTTCTCACGTATGCTTTAGCGCTGCACTTACATTTGAATTGATTAATGTGGGTTTGTTACCTTGCCTTTTGTGCTAGCGGCTATCATATTATCTGCGCTCTCGCATCATATCTAGTGTTCTATCTAAAGGTAGACTTTGCTTTACCCAGATTGCATGGCATTTATGCAGGAATGTGTTCGCTAGAGGACACATCTACGTTCAGTAGATCTTTATGAATCAGATTTTCCATAGGACTGCAATCAATTGAAATGTAACTGTACTTTCAGTGCAATTACGTTCCACTGGTTCTTGTTCCTCCATCAATCACTCATCAATCATTATGCTCACTCATTCCTCATAATCTCAGCTGTGTGACCTCCTCAGCACTGCAAAGCCTCTGTCCTCAATCTCCATTCAACCCAACTGAGGCTAGAATTCATAGTCTAGAGATGTAAACACTTTAAAAAAAGAGACTATCATCTTGCTCATGGGCAGAGTGACAGTAACTCTACAAAGGGCATCCTTCAACCCCATATATAAACCGCTTTCCTGTGCTCCCTCACAGCTACTTGTTCCTTTGCAGCCCACATTGAAAAATGTCAAACTGCCCCCCCTTCCTGGTTGAAGCAGTGGGCAGGGCTAACACTGCATGCAGCGCCATGCTGAAACACACCCTCCCAGAAGTACAATGGAAACATTCAGAGGATCCTCCACCACCAATGAGTTCAGGGGGTGATCAGAGGGGCCTCCTCCCTCCCATCGAGGAATACTGACCTGCTACAATAGGAGACCTCCGAACAGGAGGAATGCGTGTGGATGATCAGAGGGGACCTCTTACCATTCATCTAGGAATACATACCAGTACAGGGAGACCCCCCCCATCCAGGAATGCAGGAACCCCCCTCCAGTTAAAGGAAACCCTCAGCCAGGAGGAGTGCAGGGGAGTGAACTGATGAGACCTAAATACAGACCTGCTACCAACCCCAGTAACTCCCAGACTCCCACCCAGGAGGAGTGCAGGCACCTGTCCCCCTTCCCTTTCTGGTGAAGACAAATGGGGTAAGCGGACAAATCTGAAGCCATACACACATAAAAGGCCTAGGGTGGGGGAGGAGGCAGAGGTACTTTCTGAATGCAGTGGACCTGTGGAAGATCATAACTTGGGTCCCTGTGTGGACCTGCAACAAGGGAGAGGCATGCCGCACTGCAGCCACCTACACACTATGTACATTATTTACCACCTCCGCATACCAACAAACAACCTTTAGTAATAAAGCAAAGTGCACACTGCACAGAATTCTGGGTGTGGCATTTTAATAACAGCAGGAGGGTCTTAAAGGGGCATGATTACAAAAAACCTGAGTGACAGATATTTATAACACTCAGCACAATCATTTAAAATAAATTAATTTTTTCATTCAAAAGAAGCCAAGTGTTTCAACTAAATATATTTTTTAGGTAGCAAAGTCTTCTTTTACAGCAGCATTCCCCATAATATCAGAGTTTACTTTTACATCAGAGCCCACTCTAACATAAGTCTCCATTTTTTATCAGAGCCCTTTCTCACCTTACTTCAGATTCCACTCATTTTTGGAGTCCTCCTAAAATCAGAGTCCCTTCTTACATTAGTCCCCTCATACATCAGAGTCTCCACCTAGATCAGTCCCCCTCTGATATCAGAATCCCCTCTTAGATCAGTGCCCCACCGTAGAGCTGGAGTCCCCCTTTAAATCTGGAATCCCCTTACGATCAGAATCTTCCCTCAGAGCAGCAGTCCCCATGTAGATCAAAATCTTCCCTTACATAAGAGTCTCCCTTTGATCAGGAGTGCCCATTTAGATCAGACATGCCCTTCTTAGATCGAGTGTCCACCCTTAGATTAGATGTACCCCCCTCTTGGATTAGGAGTGCCCCCCTTAGATTAGAGTGCCCATATCACGGGGGCAGAGCTTGGAGGTGGAACAGCCCCTCAAAGAGAGAGGCAATAGCAACAACGGAGGTAGGAGGGAGTGGAGGAGTAAGAAGCAGAGACTGTACAGCCATGGTTCCC